GCGAAAGATCTTGTCAGTTTGTTAGTGTTTGAGCGCTTAATCAGCTGCTTGCACTGTACGCTTCCCGGGAAGCTGAGAATGTTTTGGAGTGTTCTATGGTCTGCTGGGGTAATAATGATATAGTGTAAAGCGCATAGAGCCTGCTGTTGAGCGGGGATATGCGCTATACAAATGCTATTTATTATTTATTTTTATTATTATTATTTTGTGTGTGTCTTTTTCACCAAACTTCTCTTCAGTTTGTTAGTGTCTGAATGCTCATTATCAGCTGCCTGCACTCTACGCTTCCTGGGATTATGACAATGTTTTCTGACTGTTTAAAGGTCTGCTGGAGTAATAATAATGAAGATTGTTAAGTACATACAGCTTACCGTTAAGTGGGAATATGTAGGCCTACTTTAATTCATCCAGTACCATATCTGCGACAGACATCGGCGATCATGGTTCTCCTTTCATTCCTTTGCTCGGATGCTCTTAAAAAAGCTACGTTTCCCTGATCTTTCCCCGTTACCCATTTGTTAAGGTTCCTTGCTCTGGGCCCACAACTGCAAGCAATGTACATTACCATAGCTATTTATTACTTGTGCTACAAATGCTATCATCATGTATTTCACAAATGCTATTTATGACTTGTTCTACAAATGCTATTATCATGTATTCTACAAATGCTATTTATCATGTATTCTACAAATGCTATTATCATGTATTCTACAAATGCTATTTATCACCTGTTCTACAAATGCTATTTATGACTTGTTCTACAAATGCTATTATCATGTATTCTACAAATGCTATTTATCACTTGTTCTACAAATGCTATTATCATGTATTCTACAAATGCTATTTATCATTTCTTGGTACTCATTTGAAGTTCTTATCTCATCTCATCTCATCTCACCTCACTTCCCCTCATCCCATCTCATCTCACCTCATCTCCCTCTCACCTCAGCTTGCTGGTGGAGTTCCCGTCCACGGGCGGCGCTGTGCCCTCCTGGAGTTTCCTTACCGTCAAGCTCATCCGCTACGTCAGCGACTTTGACTTCTTCGTGATGGCCTGCGAGATCATCTTTGTGGTGTTCATCCTGTACTATGTGGTGGAGGAGATTCTAGAGGTGAGTGACGTTCATCCTGTACTACGTGGTGGAGGAGATTCTATAGGTGAGTGCTGTTCATCCTGTACTATGTGGTGGGGGAGATTCTAGAGGTGAGTGACGTTCATCCTGTACTATGTGTTGGAGGAGATTCTAGAGGTGAGTGACGTTCATCCTGTACTGTGTGGTGGAGGAGATTCTAGAGGTGAGTGACGTTCATCCTGTACTACATGGTGGAGGAGATTCTAGAGGTGAGTGACGTTCATCCTGTACTATGTGGTGGAGGAGATTCTAGAGGTGAGTGACGTTCATCCTGTACTATGTGGTGGAGGAGATTCTAGAGGTGAGTGACGTTCATCCTGTACTATGTGGTGGAGGAGATTCTAGAGGTGAGTGACGTTCATCCTGTACTACGTGGTGGAGGAGATTCTATAGGTGAGTGCTGTTCATCTTGTACTATGTGGTGGAGGAGATTCTAGAGGTGAGTGCTGTTCGTCTTGGTTTTAAAAAAGGTTTCAGTCGAGGTTTTACGGCGCTCACAACTGCATAAGGTCATGTGAGCGCCAAGGGGTGGATGTCAACAGAGAAGTCCTTACAGGGAATCAGACTTACTCTGCTCACCTCTCTAGCTTCAACAGCACAAGGTCTGCTTCGACTATCAATGCACCCCGGAAATAGCGGTTCACTAGAAAGATACAAACATACAAAAGAAGTAAAGGAAAATTGACGATAGTAAGGATGAAGAAAGAAAAAGCAGCAATTCTCTGTTGCAATTCCGGCACAGTATGAGTATGACATTGATAAATCAGCCCATTTATAATTCTACTGTGCATTCCCTTTGGGAATGGCCTATAGACGCTTCAGTCAGAAGCACCTCCCGGGGGGTACGTTCATCTTGTACTACGTGGTGGAGGAGATTCTAGAGGTGAGGGGCACCGCTGCACACGCACAGTCACACACTCACAGTCACACACTCACAGTCACACACTCACAGTCACACACTCACAGTCTCACACTCACAGTCTCACACTCACAGTCTCACACTAACAGCCACACACTCAACTCTTCTTTTTATGGGGGCTCTCGTGGCCAAGAGGTTAAGGTGTTGGCCGTATACTGGAATTAAACTTCTTAACAGCGCTCATATGACCTTATGCAGTTGCGAGCGCCGTAAAACTCTGACTAAAACTAAAA